AGTCTAATTATTGTACTTTTTCCATTAAGTTCGTGATATATATGTATCCCTGAGTGAATATTAATTGCTTATGTGAATTGTTATGTGTAATGTTTACTGTTGTATTAAAGATGAACGCACCTTGTTCTTGCTTCTTTCACAGTTGTCCATGAGACTGGAATAAATCAAGAAGATCTTGACAGGAAAGCCCAACCTTTCAACTAAATATTACTTAGAATGGCTTATAATTTATAATTTATTTCTCTGAGGTTGTTGCTTAGATTTTTAAGGATGAGTTTATTTTTGGTTCAAATTCATGTAGCTTCTACGACTTGCATGTGTGCTTTACATTTATAAGTGTTACTAACATAATACTACACATACAACAATGACAAGGCATAAAGAACACATAAATATGTATAGTGTTACTTTCCATTTTACCACAATGTCGTGAACTTACCATCTCCAGCATTATGACTTTTTTGTTAGTACTATGACGGTGAATAAATTGCATTTGGGAAAAAGAATGTGTCTGTGTCAGACTCGAGATGTGGTGTATTCTGCTGTACTTTCACGAGCTTCGCGGTCGCAGGATACACCGCATCATTCGTGAAAATAACTTCCATACGCAACGAAACCACTGGGAGGGTGTGGGGTTCTGTCATAATATCTAATTGACTAGACAATTTAGTAAGATAAACGCAACGCCTTCGATTGTATAGAGTCGTCTCTCATTTCCAAGTGTTTAACTGGACTAAAATTCAAATCGTTTACTTGAACATGAACTTATAATTGTCATGACAAAATAAAAATACATAATGCCTTTATATGAAAAAAATAGTACATCAAAATTATTTTTATCTGTTGGCAGAACAGTACTAAGGCTGAATGCAATGCTAAGGGTTGTCGCTATAGTTACTCCTTTGGATATATTATAAGAGTACACATGTCACCGGCGATTTCGTCTTTAAAAATTGTTTTCAACATATACTATGCTGGGAACAATTACTACACCAACGCTTATGTTTGTTAATGCATATGGCTTTACGTATTCATAATGTTTCAACTGTTCGCATGTTCTGTCTCTTTATTTTTCAATTCATTTAGTCTCGTTTGACTATAAGAGTGTTAAAAATTCAAAATAAGATGTTAAACTCCGCTGACTGTAGTTTAATACTCGAGGAAATGACGTATCAGTCATTCAATTCAACGTGTTTCACTACCTATGAAACAAAGACGAATGTACTGTATTCTGCCGATATAAGTATTGTCCTTACAAATATACACAGTCAGTCAGTTTAGCTAGAGTTGAATGTATTATTGACATTACAACTAGCAAATTACATCTCATATTTGGCAAAACACCAAATGAAACGGACATTATTGACGTCTAAATATCACCAAATATGTAGTTTGAAAAAGAACACCAATTATTGTGTTATTTAGATAACATGTCAACAACGCCCACGATCATGCCAGGGGTTTAAGAAAATGAGAAATATTTTAAGAATTAAAACCAATGACAATGCCTGCTCGTCACGATTATTACTAAAACAAAGATTATTTATCAGGAGTCAGCTGATAAAGCCAACATGAACTTTGAACATATATGTAACCCATGATAACAATCGCTGATATTTCGAAAATACTGTGTATCTGACAGTCTATTATAGGCATCGCCCACAAAGCAGATCGGGAAATGACCAGCCGAATTTATCATGGAAGAATACGACCGAAAGACAAACCTTTGTTCTCTGACACATTCGCATGGATTTATTAACAAAGAAAATTTTACTTCTTCCTAACTCGTTTTGGGACGGGTGTTGTCATAGCAATCTAATGTTTGTACATTCGGTTCACGCGCTGTTTCACTATTGTTTGGAATAAAAAATTACATATTAAGGGTGGAGATTATAAACATATGTAGATAATATATAAACATATATTTCAGAGTTTGATAAATAGATTATTTATTGTATTTAGTAGTCGCAACTTTGCAAGGCTTTAACCGAGAGACACGTGACTTGTAATCACGTGATCGTCCCAACGACTGCAGCGATTGGCTGATTGCACGTTTGCTCTACTACGCCTCTGAAACTCTTAAGGTAGAGAGAGTTGGTATTTTTTTATAACAAGAGAAACGGGAGAAGTAGACATCGAGGGGTTACTACAGCTGGGCGTTTGGAATAATAAAGCTGGACTATCTGTAATGAAGTGATGTGTATTCCTTCAGGTTTATTAAATGATTTGGATTTAAAACAATGTGCAGGGTCCAACACATATGCTGAGCTAGCATATGCTGAGTGGTATTCACTAGGATTTCTAAAAATAGTACGACTGACAAGCCAACTATTGGCTCATTCATTTCGAACCATACATAAATTGAAAAAAAAACAATATAGAAGACGCAATGGCATCAATATGGAAATGTTTAGGAGGGAGGTGTCCCAGTTGCTTATTGTTTCCACATATATTAATATCAATAGTATGGTGTTCCGTTCAGACGCTAGTACTCGACTCGTATAACAAATAAAACGCCCGAACGCAAGCAGTGTGCAAGATAGAACGGGAGTATAGTTTCAAATCCCTATTCAAGTGTCACATAACTTTGTGTGCTACACCACACCTCAAACAAAAATGCTAGCAGTAACAAGCAAACAATATATACTTCCGTTTAACAACGGCAAAAAGCAAAAAACAGTCAAAAGTAACAATACTTATCAAATCAAAGAGTTCATTCTGTGCTGGCCTGTCACTCCGTCGTTCTTCGTTCCTTTATCGCAACTCCCAGGTGGTGTCAA